CCATACCAACACACACATAATAGCAATAGATAATGTCTGAATTGGGAAGTAAGTAATGTTTCCTCCCCTGTCACTGTAACTTCAGTTTCATACACCTTTACCTATTTAATAATTTAAAGACAGTTTTGGTAACAGAAGAACAGAAAAGGGAGAAGGAAGATGAGTTTTACCATCATATCTAATAAAGAATTATACAAATATTAGAATGCAGAATGTAAGGAAACTTAAAGATGCAGTCATGTGCCCAAAACTAGATTTTGTAGACAAGAACTTTTTAGAGTACCCAAGAGTAAATTGTTAGCCACAGTCATGGACATATTTCATAGCTGGAATTGCATAGCAAAGGAGTGCTGCAGAGGTGGTGATGGTGAAAGGCTGTACATACTTACATTGACATCAGTTCTGTCAGCCACCCAGCGAGCGAGCTGCTCAGCTGCAAAGCCCCGCACCTGAAGTTCATACGTGTCACCCCGTTTCGGCTTCCCTTTAGCAGGGAAGTTAATGAAGGTTGGAGCAGAGTTCATGTTTAGCTGTAGTTAGAAAATTCACAGAAGCTGCAGCACCACGAAAGGTCTCTTTAGTAACACAATTCTATCCCATTTATATCCTGCAACATCGTCACTAAATCAACCTGCAAAAGTAACTATTCAATAAACAGATTTCACTGACAATGACTTAAAAAAAGAATAAGGGCAGCACACACTAGCATTCCTGTATTGCTTGACAGTAATCAATACATTCCTGCTGTTTCCCTTTCGTGATCCATGCTGCCTTCTTTTAGCTCAGTCACTAGCTGTTCTAGATGTCTTAGAAATAAATTGTTACTTCTGAATAGGCGATTTTGTATTTTAAAACACAATTGAGTGTACTTTCTAAAAGCAATTGACATTTCCTTGGTAGTACTCAGATCTATAGCTACTGATCAAAAGATTCAGACCAGTTAAGAGGAGATTATAACAGGTAAAAGTAGTTGCTTACAAAATACAGGTCTGGGTTTTCCCAACACTGCTTTTCCCATAGCATTTCAGGTTTTTTAACCTGTTTCTTCTCTAAACGCTACTTGTGGGAAAGAAATCTGCACAATAGGAATATGCACAATAATCTATAAAGGCCATAGCTCGATGAATGAATTTTTGATATAACACTTTGAGAAAATTGAACAAGAAGAAGAAGACATCCCTCTCCACTTCTCCAGTCCCAAAGCTTCCATTTAATAAAGTATCATTCCCTAAATTGTGTAGGTTTTAAATAGGATTAATAATCCCTTAAAAACAAGAGTTAAGGTTTGCAAAACTATAAGGAACTTTAATGAATTAATGTGATCTACGACTACAATTTAATAACTCTGGTTACATAGTGTCAATAGAAGAGCAAGATGACATTACCATCTGAAACACATCTGAGCCTTCATCAAAATCTACCATGGCAAAGAAAATCTTATTGGTAAATGCACTGGAATATCGCCAGGAGTTTGCCAGAATCTGGTATTCCTCATCAGCTTGCCTGTAAAACACACCAAGTGAGAGGCTGCGTCATATGTTTGTTCACAGCACAAGTTGTAAAGCAGCTGAGGGAGCTGTAGCCACCCACCCCATTCCCGGGTGCATCACACAGGCCCTTAGATTCCCTTTCTAGTGGTAAAGAAAAGGTTTAAGGCCAGAGACTCGTCTAACAATAAAGTGAAGCATTTGCCACCACTGATTTTTTAAATGCAAGAGCAAGTTTCTGTTGAGACCACGAACACAAGCAGCGGTAATTTCTAACTGAAATGGAACCCAGCAGCTCATCATTTGCTAGTCCACAGAACACCGAAATGAGCAGAGATGTGCCCTCTTCTCCAGCTCAGAGGATGGGAAACCAACTAATATCAACTGATTAGGTAAAAAAGTAATCTTTTACAGACCTCTGCCACCTCCAGATTAACACATGAAAGCCATAATAGGGTTATTTACAATTTTACTATGCTGGATCCTTAAATAAGTGCAAATCAACATCTTCATTAAGAGCAACTTTCAGGCTGCGTGGCCAGCAGTAATCCTACAAGCATTTCTCCAGCAGCTCATATCAGAGAAGTTGTTTTCACCCTCCCTTTCCTCCTCCAGAAGCCTATCAGTGTGAATATTGTTTCTGCAAAGCAACAATTATTTTAGGAAGGAGATAACTAATTCACAACTATGTTGCTTTCTCACATACACATTACTCATATATTCCCACACACTGGATTGCAAAGATAGCCCTACCATAAATATCTAGTGTAGTATATTCCTCCCATGTACATGAAAGTTTTATCCTACACTTCAATTGATTCTGCCAAAGCATAAGATGATTTCAAGCTCTAACGTAGGACTAAATGGAGCCCATACTTGCACACAACACACTGTCTGTGAGGCTGGAGAGCAGTGAACATCACAATCACCGAGTAATTTCTGGGTGGTGCCTTCACAAAGCGTCGAAATTTGTCTCCATTCATGCGGATAACGGATCTTTTACTGGCCCATTCCATCAGCTGGTTCACTTTTTCTGATAACACCATCTGAAAGCAAAGGCAGAGAAACACTGCTGGGTTCTGTTGGGCTGGGGGGGGGGGGGGGGGGTATAGTCTCATAGTACAACTTGAAGGTTTTTAGATCGACATAACAAACATCTGCATTGGATTTCATAAGAGCACCAACCCCAGGATGTGATGCTTCATTCATTCCTGAAGGCATTTATAGATCTTTGTGGCAGTCACGTTAATATAGAATCATAGAACAGTTAGGGTTGGAAAGGACCTTAAGATCATCCAGTTCCAATCCCCCTGCTGTGGGCAGGGACACCTTACGCTAAATCATAACACCCAAGGCTCTGTCCAACCCGGCCTTGAACACTGCCAGGGATGGAGCATTCACAACTTCCCTGGGCAACCCATTCCAGTGCCTCACCACCCTCGCAGTAAAGAACTTCTTCCTTATATCCAATCTAAACTTCCCCTGTTTCAGTTTTAACTTACTCTAACCACTTGCTAACACATGCAGGTCCAGCTCTTTGCCTTTAAGCACTCAGTATCACACATAAGGACTGTCAGCTCACTAGTACTTGCTCATGTTGTTCTTTCAGAGGTACAAACTGCCCAGATCACTCCACAGTATTGATTTGGTACTGAGCATCACGCTCTGATTCAGCTTTCAAAAGCTGGTGGCAACGGGATCACTGTTATCATATAACAAACATATGCACCGGAGATGGAAGCACTCTGGGAGCAAGCTCAACATTTAATTTCCGGCACTGCTGGAAAAACCTGGCTTCAGTACACATTTGAACTCAGCAGTGCTTAACACTAAGCTCGTCTTTAACAATGAGCCAACACCGTACAAACAAGTATTAGGTAAGTGAGAATCCTCTAAATGTTATACTCACAAACTACTTCCCTAGCTCTTAATAACACCCTTCTTCAGGTAAATACCAAACTACTCGTCTTTCCCTGACAACCGACACAAGTATATATATGGGGCCCTTTTCCAACCCTTGGAGTCAGGTGCGTGGCAATAAGGGGCACCTTTGCGATCACAATCACGGACCGCCGCTACCACCGCGGGTGTCAGTCCCCCGGCGCCCTCCACGCGGCGGGAAGGAGACGCTCCTCCAGTGCCTCTTACAAGGCCAGGTCTGCAGCTAACGGCACTCGACAACCAACAGCGCCTTAGAACCGCACGGGTCCAAGAGCCACCGGCTCCGCACGGCCTCCACCCGCGGGCTCCCCTCAGCGTCTGCTCGGAGCCGCCGCGCCCCAGGCCGGACTCAGGGCCTGCCCCAGACCGCCCCAGGCCGGAGCCCGCCGCAGACCGGCCCGCCCCGGTGCGAGCAGCGCCCGCTGCCCGGCGGTACCTCACCTCCTTCCGCTTCTGCCCGGCGGCTTGCGGCCCGCCCCAGCACAGCAGCAGCGCCAGCGCCAACACCGGCAGCGCCGCCATGACCGCCCCGCTCGACCGCTCCGCGCCCATTGGCGGGCACCGGCAGCGCGGCCCCGCCCGTACACTTCCTATTGGCTGAGGTGCCGGCCTCCGATTCGTTGAGCCTGCGAGCAGCGCGGGTTGCTGCTAGCCCATAGGAGGGAGGCAAGATGGAACCGCTTGATTGGCGGAGCGAGCAGGGAGGGCGGCGGCTGCCAGTGAGGAGCTCCCCTCTGTGCCCGCCTCCACGTTGCGCCGCGCGTTAAGAGCCCGGCGGGCTTCCCTCGGTGCCTGCGGCTGTTGGAGCGCTGCAGCGCGGCCGCAGCGTGCTGGGGCTGCCAGGGGTACCCCGGGAAGGGAGGAGGGCTGCAGCGCTGCGGGGAAACGCAGCAGCTCCCCCAGAGGTGTACGCTTGCTGAGTGTTACACCAGTATGTTGTTGGGCCGCGCGTTAAAACGATTGTTAAAACGCTGAGCGCGCTTGGGAAATTAGCCGGGTTTATGGGCTTTAAATCGGCACAGAAAAACGCGGTCGTAGAATCATGGAATCAACTAGGTTGGAAATCGCCTTTAAGAACATCGAGACTATGCTGCCGCTTTGTTTCTCTATTCGGGCGCACTGTGGGAATGGTTTCTGGAGCCGCGCGCCTCGCTGCAGGTTCTGTTTGTGCTAAAATGTCCGATTTCGGCAATTTCGTCTTTTTTATGAGTTTAAATTCACAGACAGAAGGGAATAAAGAGAAAAAAAAAAGTGGTGTCAGAAGTGGGATTCGAACCCACGCCTCCATACGGAGACCAGAATACCCAATCCCGCTATGGGAAGGCTTACACCGCCTTGAGTCTGGCGCCTTAGACCACTCGGCCATCCTGACACTGCGATAGCAGGCGCTGCCGGGAGGCTCTTAGTGCTTTCCTCATGGCCGCCGCTCCCCTCCCCAGCCCGTCGGGGGAAGCGCTTCCGAGCCTGTAACCCGGAGAGAAGGCGAGAACCGCCCGCTCCTCCGGGCTCCCGAGCTCCCCTCCTCAGCCGTCGCGGGGAGGCGCCGTCCCCGCCGGCACCGCGCGGCCCCGTTACCCACAGGGCTCCGCTGGCGGCGCGACCCAGCGGCCACTTCCGGCGCGACCATTTTGTTTTTCACCGCTCGCCAAGGGTACCTGCTCCCGGCCGCCGCGGCTCCTGCCCCGCTCCTCACCATGTTCCCCGTGGCTCGGGCTGCCCTCAACCTCACCGGTAAGGCAGGAGGAGGACTGGAGCCCTGGGGGTGTTTAGCGGGAGGTTTCGTCGGGGGGGATCTGAGGATTGCCCCTCGATTGTGACGGTCGTGAGAGCGCCGTCCGTGCCTACTGCTCATTGTTTGCTCTCTTTCTGCCTCTTTTATCCCCTCATTGCTTTCATTTGAGCTGACCTGGGGTTGCCTTCTTCGGCGCTTTTCCTCTTTCATAGCTGCTAAAGGCACAGCGAGGGCTGGTAGCCTGAGGTGACAAGGTGTAGTCAGGGACCGGCCCTTAGACTTCAAGGGTAAAGTCACCTCTTCAGGGACAGATTCCCCAGTGCTTAACCCAAATCTGGTTCTGGTTCATGATGTGCTTAGTTCGCACCTAAAATAAACCTCCTCAGCAGTGTTTCTCTTATTAGGTAGTTAAACTTCTTTTTTTTCCCGTTAAATATCCTACCTTGTTCAGCATCACAGAGCATGATGGGTATTGCCATCATCTTACCTAGTCCAGTTGGGTAACTGTGAACCACTGACCCGAAACTGAAGATTGTGTTTTGTGATGTCTCTTTATGCACAGATCACTGTCTCAGATAATGCAGCACAAAACTGCTAAACAGACTTTGTGTGTTGAAGCTGGTGGTTTGATTCTTCATTGTTTTCTCCTTGATAAGTGTACCTTTTATAATGTACATCATACCCTCTCTGACCTGCAGATATCCTCCTCTATTGTTCTATATTACTTAACCATACTACCTGTATATTCACTGTAACACATATGTATATTAACTATATTACTGAACTTATTAAGTTCCATCATTATTGCTGCTTCTTTCTTCATTTCCCTTCAAAAATCATGGAGGAATGAGAAAGGTCCGTATCTCCACAACCCTTAACTCCTTACTTTGATGGTGAGCTTCATCCTGAAGATGCTTATGTTAGGTACACATGTTGACAATATAGATAGGTACATACAGAAGTCTGAAACTTTTAAGTGCTCAGCAAACAAATACGTATTCATTCTTAAAAGCGTACTTGCATTTCCACCCTGAGGGCCCAAAGAAAGCATATAAATGGAAAAAGTAACTTAGAGGATTCAGAGAGAACTTTCCAGAGAGAAACTGGGACAGATGAAACACAATGCAAGGCTTTCTGTATATCCTGTGGTTTGGAATCATTCCAAAGCTCCAAGTCCAAAAGATTCATTTGTTTTTCAGCTTAAAGTTTTTCAATGCTTCCACTTGCCTCTGGTGGTGGGAGATGAGGAATGTGAATGGCTTGGATGTGTATTTTAGTTGATTCCTGTGTTTCTCTTCAACATTCATTAGCTCGAGGCATTCGGCAGACTGCAGTCAGACAAGCTCATCGCAAACGTGAGCCTGACTTCCACGACAAACACGGAAACCTGGTGCTCATTGGTGGAGCCGTTGTTTTTACTGCTGTCTGGGGATACGTGAGTGCCCTTTTTCACCACTCTGTTGTGGTTGCTCCTGTAAACTTGGAAGCAGTTGTCTTTCAGAAGGGCTTACTTGTTTGAAATAACTTACATGGTCAGAATTTAGGAGTTTTTTATGTAAGTTAATAGTTAATATTTTAATGTGGTAGAGATGAAAGTTGTGTTAGTTCCTATTTTGATTTTGAGATGTTTCATGAATGTCTGTGTCAGTCTATTGCTTGCTTTTAAACCACAGTAGAAACACAAGTGTTCTCCATTTAACTTGGGATTTCTAAGCTACACAGGTAGAGCTTTTGTCAGAAAAACCCTAGATGAAAATAATCGTATGGTGATGGGGGTTTACGTCCCAGATTTTGTTTTGAAGCTAGACATTCTTAAATAAAAACTGAATTATTTAAGTATTACTCAATATAAATATATTCCACTTGCTTTATTAGAAGATGTCATGTTCTAATACAAGAAATCTATGCTGAAAACAATAGAAACAGCCCTCTATCAGAAGGTTTCTTTGATTTCAAAGTTAATAATCCTGGTTTTTATCCTCCTGCAGGTGCTTACACAGCTTGACATTGAGTGGGGCTTCTCCCCTGTGGGTAGAGTCACTCCAAAAGAATGGAGGCAGTAATAAACTCTGCATGTAATGAACTGCTCTAAACTTTCACTGAAGAAACAATCACGTAATGGTATTTGTTCTCTGATTACCACTTGTGCAGGGGCATTCCTGGTTTAATAAACATACCTAGAAACCTGCCTGGCTCTTGAGTTTCTGCTGTGCTCTGTGTGTGCTGAAACATAACAGTGTAAAAACTCAGTATAGTTCAATCATGACTTAGGTAGCTCCAGTTGTTCCTGTGAAGGTCACTGGTGGATAACAGACAAGGCCCCCTATAGGGGGCCTATAGGGATGCTGGAGAGGGCCTCTTCATTAGAGACTGTAGTGATAGGACAAGGGGTAACGGGTTAAAACTTAAACAGGGGAAGCTTAGATTGGATATAAGGAGGAAGTTCTTTACTGTGAGGGTGGTGAGGCACTGGAATGGGTTGTCCAGGGAGGTTGTGAATGCTCCATCCCTGGCAGTGTTCAAGGCCAGGTTGGACGAGGCCTTGGGTGATTATGGTTTAGTGTGAGGTGTCCCTGCCCATGGCAGGGGGGTTGGAACTGGATGATCTTAAGGTCCTTTCCAACCCTAACTATTCTATGATTCTAAAACATCATATGGTTGTCCGCTTCACCTGGCCTCAGGCATGTTCCCAGTGCTGAGTTCACATCACCTCTCCTTTCAGCTGCACAGTGAATGATAAAGCCAAGATCCCATATTTTTTCCACAGCAATATTTTCATGTCCTGAATCACCTTTCAGATAAGTTGTGTCTGAGGCCTTTGAGAGGTGTGGAGAACTTAATTTGGAGCCACATAAGCCAGCAGCGTTGCTGCACTTAGAGAAGTGATGTTTCTGTCAGTGTACGCTGCTTTTCCAGTGAATATTGCGTCCTCCAACTTGGCGAGGAAGCGGCCCAGTGCTGTGTGCGGGCTGTGACCCGCAGGGTCAGCCCGAGCCCCGGAGAGGCACCGACACCCGGGTTTGGCCCAGCGGCCACGCAGGAAGCGCCCGCCCGAGGCTCCCATTACCGCTCGCTGCTCAGTCCCCGTCGCTTCCCTCCGCCGTCACGTGTCCCGCGCTCCTGTCACATGAGAGGGCGGGGCCAGGCGCGCCGCGGATCACGTGACGGCCGGCCCGGGCGGGGCAAGGTGCCAGGCGGGACCCCGGCTCAGCGAGGAGCGGGCGGCGCTGCGGTGAGTGCGGAGTGGGGCCTGCGGTGGGGCGGGGGGAGCGGGGAGCGGGGAGCGGGGAGCGCAGGGCTGAGCTGAGCGGGCCTTCCCTTAGCGACCCCCGCGGCAGCACCTTGGGCTGTTGTCGGGGTCTGCCGCCCGCAGGGGTGGGGTTAGAGCTCCCCCCGCACTGAGGCTGCGCGGCTCTTCCCGGGGGTGACTCGGCGTGTCGGGAGCAGAGCGAGGGAGGGCTCCGGGTCCGGAGCACGGCTGTGAGCCCGCAGCGGCGTTTCCTGCTCTGCCGCTCCTGCCGCCTTCGTGGTGTTTTCTCCAGTGCTGGGCACGCAGGGATGGCAGGGAGCCGCCTCGGCACTCCCGCGGTTCCTTTGGGATGCAGCCGGTGCCGGCGGGCTGGGTAGTATCAAACGGGAGTCAAAAGGAAGCGCAATAGGCTGGTTTTATCAGCGGGCATCCACACGCCAGGTCTCGTCGCTTCTTGGTATACAGTTAAGTGTGCACGGGCTTGGAAACGCACCTCTTTTACTGTCGGAGGTCTTCGGAGAAAGACCTGGGATGGGTTGGAATGCGCAAGTTACAGAGCCTCTTAAAAACATAGTGCGACTATTCTGGAGAAGGGCAAAGAGTTGTTCATGATGCTTTGGGCTAAAATCTCATGGAAATGAGCAAGAGCAAACCCACCTTAACTATTGCCTCTCTGTATCCCGATTGTATTGTGTGTATTACAGTGTACCGTGTGAGCACAAACACCATTTGATTAGAAATCGATGATTAGAGTGATTGTTGTAGATGAAAGACCTGAAGCTTTTTCCTTTCCCAGCTGGTTAACCAGGAAAGTAAAAGCCAGTGTTACATATCATTTACTGCTGTTTTCACTTGTATATACATCCTACATTGTTCTGCCTTGTGTTTTGAGACTAAGCTCAACACTGAGGTGCCTCCGTTGCTGTAGTGTGCTCAGGTAAGTAGGCTTTATAAATTATAGTCTGTTCTTAATACTTGGCTGTGATTCTTCCAGGGGAGAGTTTATGTCTTCCTAAAATTTGACTTGAAGAGGTGGTGAAAGGACATGAGAGGAACTCTTAACAAAGCCTTTTACTTGTTCAGGTATTACAAAGCTCGATAGAAGTGCAGAAGAATGTTTCCAATGTGTGCTTTTCATCCAGCTTGTATAGAAATAAGGTCCCTCAAAGTAAGTTCCATGGTGTGCTGACTGAGCAAGACTTGTTAAAGTCTTGAGCAACAGGAATTGCAGCCTCGAGTATCACGAGGCTGTGTGCGCATTATTAGAGATGTGCAGTTTCTTCCTCAATCGTTAAGCCTCATACTTCTAATCAGACTTTCAAATATATCTGCTAATGAGCAGAGTAAAACCATGGACCTGCAACCCATTCTCCAGCCCAAGGATGGGATGATACAGCTTTTTCCTTTCATGCTGTCCTTTGTTCCTTTTCTTAGGTCTCTACAGACTTAGGGGAAGATACAGTTTTCCAGCTAATGTAATTATTTACAGCAGCAGAAAGATAAGTTACTAAAGTGAGCTATAAAGTAGGACTTGGCCATTTAGAAATTTAATAAACTCTAAAGGTTGTAGTTAAATCGGACAGGTTCTGTTTCTGGCATTTGTGGGTTTTGCCTGGCTTTGACCTCTTTCAGTAGCTATAAGTCCAAGCTATTGACGTATAGAAAACTGGGGGGAAAACTGAAGGTGTGTGTGTAGCCAGAAACACTGTGAGCTTCCCAGTTATACAGTCATAGAATGGTTTGGGTTGGAAGGGACCTTCAAAGCTCATCTTGTCCAGCCCCTGCAGTGAGCAGGGATATCTTCAAGTAGATCAGGTTGCTCAGAACCACATCCAGCCTGGCCTGGAATGTCTCCAGGGATGGAGCATCCACCACCTCTCTGAGCAACCCGTGACAGTGTTTTACCACCCTCCTTATAAAGCACTTCTTACGTGTCCTTACTGCTCCTAGAACAGGCATGGAGCATGTTTGTGGTACCTTGGTTAGCTTGGATCCTAGAAGCACGAAAGTGGTGTTTTGTGGAGTAAAGAGAGTCTGGGTTTTACCAGTGTTATAACTTCCTCTTTGCATTGCTCATATTTTCTTTCTTCCTTTTTTTGTTGTGATAGTGAGAGGTTGTGAATGACAGCTTTGTCTTCATCAAGCCTTGTCTTGCTTCAGATATTTTACTCAAAGACTCCTGTTAGAACATAAGTTGCTTAAAGGGATGAATTTGAGTTTCTCAGTTGTTTTATGCTTGGTCACTGTTGAGTTTTCCTTTGCACAGGAAGAAACTGCAGTTGGAAGTAGAAATTGTTTCATTTTCTGTTACATCATTCACTTCATAGAAACACTAGTTGACTTTCTTCAAGGAAATTAGATGTTTGGATTTTAAGCTGCACACAGGCAACCCAAGCCTGTGTTAAGCCTAAAATTGGACCTGGAAGAAACAATACAAAGACTTTACGTCTATTCCCAAATATTGGTTTTGGTTTAATTATCCTTTATAGCCTCTTTCTCTGTTGCTGAGTGTTGATTCTCTGCACGTAGCCTGCCATGCTCGGTTCTGCAGAGCCAGGTTATTGCTAGGGCTCTGCTGCTTGATGGTGTTAATGTACAAACAAGGAAGCGCTGCTGCCTTGTGTACTGCAAAACAAGGTGAAAGTAATGAAAGGGAGTAAATTGTGTATGAGAGGATACAGAAAGCTTATACAAAGCTCGTTCAAAGTCTAAGTTCTTTGTCAAGTGAAGCCATTGTAGACGATATTCCAAAACAGCAGTAGTTGAATTGAAGCCTTTTGTTTTCTTGTATTCCAAATAGACAACTGGGAGATTAAAGGGGGGAGGACGGCTGCCACCTGTTTGCATCATCAAATCCTAAAATTCTTTACTAGTTGAGGACGAAGGTGGTTTATAGATGGAGCAATGCAATGGTTAAGAATAAAACCATTGTTGTTCCCTAAAACAGCGTGTGATCCATAACTTAGCGTCTTACTTTAAAGAACATGTCCATAACTTTGAATTACAAGTTATTTATTAGCAGTCATTTGCCTTCATAGTCGGTGGTAACAAAGATCTTCAGTGTCGACTTATCAAATACATGTTGTCACTTAGAAAAATCTTCTGATATCTAGAAGTTTTGGATTTTGTTGATTGTTTCAGCTGCATCCTTCCAGAACCATTACTGTGCCTTCTACAATGAGGTTCCCTTTGGGTTAATGCATATATATGCATTATAATCTATGTATTGTTTTAATGGGTGGAGAAAGCAAACAAGAGATACATAGTGATTGATGGCAAGAGTGAGGAAATGGGGTGTTCCAAGTTCAAGCCGTTACTGTGGTATACACAGGTTGTTACACAGCCTCATGCAGATCTTCTGACTTCTGCATCCATTTTCATGTGAACTTGGTGAAATATTAACACATATAAGGAGAACTAGGATGATATTGTCAATGTGTGTACACCTCTTGCGTGCATTTAGCCTAACTTATTGGTGTAACAAATACTTTTCAGGCTGCTTAGTCATGAGTTTTTCTTACTTTAATGTTGTCGGGAGGAGGAAATTATGACAGAGTTCTTTTAAGCTTTAGCCAAAGTATTTCTACCAGGAAGCACTGTGAGGGAGGCAGAGCAGTAGGAATGAAATGGAATATAACAAAGTAGAACACTGTCTCAGATGTAACCATGTATTAGCTTTTAAATGTAAACCCTTGTCCTGGGAATTCTGTAAGGGGAGGAAAAAGGATATACATAGACTTACAGGTGCTGTGTATTAACCCTGTACATTACTCTGAGGACAACAGCTCTCTAAAGCATCAGGAGCACTGGAATTCCAAACAACTTGGTCTTCAGAAATCTCAGGCTGTACAGAAAACAGCCTGGTAACTGGTGTGAAGAGGCATCATTGCTCACAAATGGCTCCTTTCCTACCTTTAGATTTGAATGCATCTCAGTTT